CCTCCCGCGACGATTGGGCAATAGTTCAGGAGGGTGGAGGGAAAAAAGCCACGAGTAATCGTCGATTCCCCGGAAAATAGAGGAAAATATGGTAAGTGGGGAGAAGACAGAAACCCAGAAAATATGTGAAAAGATTGGGAATCCTGGGATTTGTGTGTGTATGCATGTGTGTCCCTGGGCCCCTTCAATAGTGTCGGGAATCGGATGCTGCTGGTCTGCGTTTCTCGGCCGCTGAGATCCTGACACGCACGCTGGGAGGGCGAGGGGGTCCAGGTCCCTCTCGAAGCAGCACACCCTCCACAACAAGAAGCAAGTGGTGCTTACCCTGGGTTTCTTAATAAGCGTGGGGGGGGACCCCCCGACGGGGGTCAGCCTCGCCACGACGTCGCGCCGCGACGGGGGTCGGAGCGCCTTCGGCGCGTGGTGGCTGCCCGCGACGGGGGTCGATGTGGGGCTGTCGGCGGGGGTGGCGCCCCCCCCCCCCGACGCTTATTCAGAAATTCGGAGTGGCCTTTGTTTCTGGTCACGGCGTCGGCCATGCTCACCGCCGACGGAACACAAAAGGGAACCTTCGCTTCATCGGCAGAGGCACGTGCAATATGGTCGGCAGTACAAGTCGTAATTGTGTGGCGGAGGTCAAGGTCCAGAGCGGCCACCTCCGAGCTCACAGTGCTCCTATTGCAGCAGAGGGCCGCCACACGGGCCCACAAAGTCACGGTGAGGTTGGATCGTGGCCGAAAACCCCGCGATGACTTTAGACACACCCATGACCACGTAGGCAGAGTCAACTATGTGTCCCAATGGGGAGCCTTCAGGGGCCTCCTCTCAAGTTGTCCACAGTTCGCATCAATTCAAACTCTGCTTGTCAGACATGTCCCCTCCTGCAACAAGCGCCAGGCTGACCGCTACCACCATGCTTGGCAATCGATCCAAGCTGTGTCGGAAAAAAATGATCCCCAACAGACCCTCCCAAGCTTGCGGTTCCTGGAGAATTCACCCCCGCTGGCATCCCCAGCTCCCCAAACGCGGCCTTCCACCAAGCTAGGGAAGGCACCTGAGGACGCGAAAAAGGGATCGCCGGGGGAGGCGGGACGTGGGTCCAAGACGAGGATGTGAGATCCCGTAGCCATAGCACAGAGCATTCGGTGGCCGCCGTTGTTCCTTTCTTGGCAAAGGCACCCGAAACTTCCTGGGATTCTGAGTTGCACGGACACTCCCGACATCTGTGGATATCCGTCTCAGGACAGGTCCCACATCATGGGCATAAGCTGTCGCACTCTCCACCTGCGCTTACGATACGTATTCGTGCCCACACATTTCCCATGCAATAGGGCGAAGCAGGCCAGCTTTCTTCGGGTCTTCTCTTCTGAGCGAAGCTAGGTGAACTTGCGGCGCAGTGAAATCAATACCTTGCTCCGCGCCCACCTCATTGCGGAATTGGAAGGATTTTCAACAGCTTCGTTGACATAGAGGTGGCGACCTCAGACTTACACTCGGATGTCATGTACGCACTCTATCGCGCAACCCGTCGGGAATGGCAAGCTCGTCCCCGTTCGGGGCGATCCACCTCCAAGGCCCTTCCAGGGTTTACCCGAGATCAAGAAAGGCGGCAACCACCGCCGAGACAGGGCCTCGTATGTTTTGCCATTTGCGCTTAGGGCTGAGGATCCGAATTCTTACCCAGGGTGTCCACCCCAGCAGCGACGCGTGTGATCGAGCGCCTTGTCGGGAACACTGGACACTATCTGGAACAATGAACCCAGAATCATGTTTCATATTTTTGATTGTTTAACAAAACTGTTTAACACTGTCCTGCGGACCCACCTCCAAAGCGGGGTCCTTCGGACCCACCTCCAAAGCAAAACGCCGGTCTGGCACCTGCCCGCAGTCCCATTGGTGAGAGTGATGGCGAGGGCCCGTCTCCACTTCTGAAACGCACGAGGTTCGGGGAGGGCACCAGTGAGGACCAGCGTGGATCCCACCTTGCTAGGGACAACCCTATCCACCTTGCAGATGCGCTGCGCATGCCTACAAGCTTGAGCGATCCGTTTAGAGTATCTGGGCTTCGAGGCCTGCGAAACACTTCCACGCTCAGTGCCAAGATCCGTGGACACAAACGCCACATCAACCCTGACTCCAACATATTCCAAGCCAGCTGGGATCGCTCGCGCCCAATCCATTCTCGAAGCGATGACGATCGACTTGGGAGCGATCTTCAGACATTCGTCCTCGCGCGCATTGACGAAACCAACTCCAGGTACAATAGGGTGTATGGACACGTCTCTGCGTTGTCCTCCGCCCTCTGAGTCCCGTCATGCATCCAGGTTCTCAGTTGAACAAAAAAGCTGTTGGCGATCGTTGTCTCGCATATGGCAAACTTCTGGTACTTGGCAAGATGAGGGGCCCTTCGGGTCCCAGCCCCTGGGGAGACTCGGGAGAGCCACGCACCCAGAGTCCCCGAGCACCTCGAGCCCCGGATGGAGCAGCGTTTCCAGAGCAGGGCACACGGCGGGAAAGTCGAGCGGCAGGGCATGAGCAGAGACTTTTCTCCCAGCGAATCATGTCACAAAAAGCTCTAACATCTCATGCAGCACAATACTTGTCGGGCAAGGCCGAGACGCCAAGGCGGCCTCACGAGCGCAAGAGCGGAGCAACGCCTCCCTGAGGGCAGTGTTGCTCCTCACGGCCGTGAGCAATCCTAGGGCACAATCCTCGCGAACATCAGGCTTGCGCAGGAGGTGGAGGAGGAGGAGGAGGAGAAGGAGGAGGAGGATGAAGACCAGTGTAAACCCAACAGTCATCAACGATGTTGGAATTAACCCTCCCTCCAAGCTCCCTCTTCATAGGCCCCTACAACGGTTCATTTCCATTGAGGGAACTGCCTCGTTAGAAGACAACCGTTTGAAGACCTTGGAGCATGCCCAAACATTGTTCTCGGGAGTTCCACGCCACGGATCAGACTGACTGCTGCGTCCTGACGATCTGGAATCGCGCCAGAACGCAATGTGGGGGACTTAAGAACCGCGAATCAACATAATTGTTGCACCCGCATAATCTTGAATCCTTTCAAAACACCATTCCTGATACGTGGATCCTGGAAATCCGCGAAACTCCTGCAATTGCTTTAAACGAATGTGCGCGGCGCTAAGGCGAGAGCCACATTTTGGAAAAGACCCGCCCTCAATCCGTGAAGCTCTTGCAAGTGTTTAAAGCGAATGCGCGCGGCGCTAAAGCGAGAGTCACAGTTTGAAAACGACCCGCCTTCAATCCGTGAAACTCTCGCAAATGTCTAAAACGAATATGCGCAGCGCTAAGGCGAGAGCCACATTTTGAAAACCACCCGCCCTGAATCCGTGAAACTCTTGCAGATGTTTGAAATGAATGTGCGCGGCGTTTAGGCGAGAGCCACATTTTGAAGACGACACGCCCTCCATCTGCAAAACTGTTGTTATGTTTTTAAGCTCCAGAATCATAAATGGTGAGGAAGTCTCAGGCGAAACGCCCGGCCCGCCCTAAAAACTGGACTCGGGGTGCGACAGGGAGAAGTTATTGATAGGGAAAGGAATGGAGGAGGAGGACGAGGACGAGGACGAGGAGGAGGAGGAGGAGGAGGAGGAGGGAGGAGGGAAAAGGACGGCAGAAGTGGCGGCGGCGGCTCGCCATTGGCCGATCTTCGGCTAGCAGAAGTGTGGAAAATATGTGTTGGCATGCTTGCAGCGCCTGGATTTGTGGGTCGTCTGGCGCTCCCAGCTCTGCGTGTTCCGTGCTCCCTCCGCCAGGACAGGCCTCGCCCCCCGAACTCGGCCCCTGCATTTGTCCGGAGGCGGCCTGTGCGCACGGCAGGAGCTCCCGCCGCGCCGGGGATTCGGCCCCAGCGGCGGGCGCGGGCCCCCTCCCTCACGTACCGCCACCTCCTCGGCGGCCTCGCCTCCTCCCGCTCCGGAAGGCCGTTCCGTGCGCCACGCGCGCCGTAGAGAGGAGGCGGTTGGCTTGCACCACGCGGGCAGGCAGCGGGGCCAGACCCGGCGGGAGCTCGAGCAGGCTCAGCGACGTCAGCTGCACCAGGTCTTCGAGGCTCTCCTTCTGGGCACCCCCCGCCGCGCGGAGGTGGTGCCGCGGTGCCTCCAGTCTCCACCTCTGCCTGCGGGTTGTAGCAGACTTCCGCGCTGCCCTCGAACGCGATGATCAGGCGTACAGTCGGGGCGCTGAAGAAGGAACCCTTCTCGTAGGCGAGGGGCTCGGTGTTCCTTGATTGTTTTACTGTTTGCGTTGGGTTTTCCTTGGGAAATCGAAGTTTAACTTATGGGAAAAAGGGGCCTCGTTCCTTATTTAGGGTTCCTTGGGTCAACGCCCCGACTGTACGTTCTCCTCCTTGCCCGCCCGTGTGAACCTGGGCTGGCACAGCGCGAGCTTGCACCACCCGGCGAGCTGCGGCGCCCGGCCGGTTTGCAGCATGGTCTGGAGCCTCCGAGGCGCTGGGCATCGCAAGAACGGAAGAAGGTAGGAGTGCGAGGAGGAGGGGGAAGCCGGAGGACGAGGGAGAAATGGAAGGAGAGGGGCGAGGAGCGGCAGGAGGAGGAGGAGGAGAAGTCAGCGGCGCTCCACCAAGCCACTCCCCGGCAGTTGCGCACGAGCCGCGGGGGGCAAGGGCGCCGGCATCGCCTGCTCTGCGGCGAGCCCGCGAGCCCAGGGCTTGACCCCTGGAGCGCTGGTCGGGGGCGTCGCTGTCCGTCGTCGTCGTCGTCGCTCGTCGTCGTCGCTCGTCGTCGTCGTCGTCGTCGTCGCGGCCGCCGTCGTCGTCATCTTCGTCGTTATCGTCGTTGTCGTCTTCGTCGTTATCGTCGTTGTCGTCATCGTCATCGTCGTCGCTCGTCGTCGTCGTCGGTCGTCGTCGTCATCGCAGGCGTCGTCATCGCCGTCGTTGTCGTCGTCGTCGGTCGTCGTCGTCGTTGCCGCCGCCGCCGCAACCGCCGCTGTCGTTGTCGCGCGCCCGCGCGCAGCTACACGGAGTCGCTGCAGATCGCGCGAGACGCCCGCGGCGGCCTGCTGGCTGGCGCCTACGCTGGTGCAGGCCGCAGTGCTCCTCATCCGGTTGCGGCTGTGACTGTTGTTGTTCCTTATTACGTCGATATTGCTCCTCCTCCTCCTCCTCCTCCTGCTCCACCTCCTCCTTCTCCCTCCTCCTACTTTTCCTCCTCCTCCTCCTCCTCCTCCTCCTCCTCCTCCTCCTCCTCCTCCCTGCGTCCAGCTTCTTTTGCATCCGCCGCCTCCTCTGGGTACGTGCGCTCATCCACCTCCTCTTCCACATCCTAGTCCTCTGGTTACGTGCGCTCCTCCTCCTCCTCCTCCTCCTCCTCCTCCTCCTCCTCCTCCTCCTCCTCCTCCTCCCCCTCCTCCCCCTCCTCCTCCCCCTCCTCCCCCTCCTCCTCATCCTCCTCCTCTTCCTCCTCCTCCTCCTTCCTTCCTGCCAGGGTGACAAAAAGGTCCACTCTGATGGGCCCCCCTGGGTTTTTTGGACCGTCGAACCCCTTCCCCCCCTTTCCCCTCAGTGGCGTGCGATCCTCCTCCTCCTCCTCCTCCTCCTCCTCCTCCTCCTCCTCCTCCTCCTCCTCCTCCTCCTCCTCCTCCCTTTCCTCCTCCTCCTCCTGCTAATCCGCAGCCCCGGCACCAGACCCATTTTAGGTCTGATGTCCACGGGGGCAGGCGTGTCGGCCGACAGTCCCAAACCCACCACGGAAGGGGGCGTGCCCATCAAATAGATTGTTCTCAGTACCCGGGTGGAGGGCGCTATTCCACCCAGGTACCGGCGACAGGGCACGCCACCCCCACTAAAAGACAGGGAGGGGGGAAGGAAGGAGGGAGGAGAGAGCAGGAGAGAACCGGAAGGAAAGGGAGACGGGCGCGCACGGCCGGGGGACCTGCGCCACCGACCCCCCCCGTTAGGCGCGCGTGCGCGCCCATCGGAGGCAAGGAGCGGGGGAGGAAAAGAGGGAGAGAGGAGGAGAGAGGAAAGAGGCGGACTGCAGCAGCATGCGAGCGGACCAGCAGAGTGAAACAGAGCGACGGTGGAGGTAGCCAAAACGACTACGGAGGAGGGAAGAGGAGGAGAAGAAGGAGAAGACAGTGCACAGCTGGATGCTTGCACGGGGGCCCCGCCCCTCGGCAACCGCATCGGGCCTGCCGTGCGCCAGCGGGATGCTCGCCCCTGATGACGTCCTCGGCGAACGCATCGGGCCCGCCAGCCCGCGGTGGGATGCTGGCCACTGTGCTCAGCGCCCGCCCCCGACGATGGGGCCTGTGGACGCTGAGCAACTGCTCAGCAACCGCAGCGACAGCATCGGCAGACGCTCCTGCCTCTCCGTCAGAGCGGTCCAGGTGATCCAGAATCAGCTGTTTCGCAGCAGACCCCACTCGTCCACCAGTCTCGATCGCAAAAGGAATGAGCAAAGGCGTCGTAGGCCCCGGCGGGTACTGGCGCCGCTTCTCGCGGGCCGCATCCTCCGCTGCAAGGCCAGGCTTCTCCGCCCGAGCGCGCTCCTCCCTCGCGTCAGTACTGTCCGGGCTAACCACGACCACGTCCACCGCCTTCGCGGCGCCTTGGCGGGCCCAGACGACGTCAAGGACCGCCGTCTCGACGCGCGCCGTCTCGACACCATCCACGACGCATCGGCGGGTCCTCTGCCACTGGGGCACAGTCTTCTCCTTCTGGACCCATGCTGGGACGCGCCGGGCAAGCCAGCGGGCCAGCAGGTCGCGAATGCGATCGTATCGCGCCACGCGGCGCCCTCCCGTCTCGCACGCCAAGGCGTGATGCTGGTCGGGTTCCAGAACCGCTCCGCAAAGCACCCCCTCTCGGGATGTGTTTCGACAGTGCGTTTGCGGTTCCAGTCCGCGCAGCAGCCTTGCGCCCGTCACCAGAAGGCGCCGCCGCATCGCGATGCGGTACAGCTCAGGATGCATCCTGTGTTCAGGCTTAGTCGGCAACATGGTGAAAGCGCCAGCCCCCAGGCCCCCCGCGGACAGCAGGCGACCGCGCTGGCGGTGGTCCAGGCCAGCTTTGGCGACGCCTGCAATCACTTCCATCCGCGGGCCCACCAGGTCCTTCTGTCGGCGGCGCTCTCCCTGGGCCAGCGACGTCTGCAGGCAGTGGGCTGCGCCAACCGAAGCGTTGTACGTCACCACAGCGGCTTCAAATCCCTGCGTGCCCGCAGCGCGCGCGGCGAGGAGAGCCTCGGCGCCGGTGGCCCCAAGCGCCGCCGCAACCGGCGGAGCAGCGTCGAGCCACGCGGCGATGTGCGCCGCCTCCCACCGAGGCTCGGCCGCGCCTGCCGCGAGACCGCCATCCCGGAGGGGCAAACAGGACTGCACCCACTCCCGATCGGTCATGTCGACGCCCAGGAGGTCATTCCAGAGGCCCAGAGGCCGCGAAGCACCGTGTCGTAGGCCCGGACGGCCACCAGGTCCTGCAGGTGCGAGCGCAAGAGGTGGTTCGGCAAGCCCTGGGCTGTCCACCTGAGCATCGCCGTTGCCTCTTGTGGCCCAAGTCCTGCAGCCACTGCCTCCCCTTCTCCTATTCATTGTCTTCCCCCTCCTCCTCCTCCTCCCACTACTCCGCTGCCTCTCCGCCTCCTCCTCCTCGTCCTCCTCGTCCTCCTCCTCCTCCTCCTCCTCCTCCTCCTCCTCCTCCTCCTCCTCCTCCCCCTCCTCCTCCTCCTCCTCCTCCTCCTCCTCCTCCTCCTCCTCCCCCTGAGCCTAAGGGGGAAGTCAGAGAGGGTAGGCCTTCTAAGAAGGCGACAGGGTTTCCGAGAAGCCCCCCGACCCTTTGGTACCCTTTTTGTGGCTTCGGAGAAGGCTCAGACAGCTCGTCGACAGGTGGAGAGTCCTCCGAGCACATTCCGAGAAGGATCGCCCCCAGGGTGCGCCTGCCGCTCCCCTTGGCGCGCACGGAGGCGGCCTGTGGCTCCGCAACTTCGCGTGGAACTTCACGTTCTTCGAGTGGAAGCGCTTCTTGCACAACGCCGTGGAGCTTTCCGCCTCGTCCGCCTCCTCGCTCCTTCGTCGGTTCTCGTCCTCTTGTTCCATCTCGGCCGTCGTCGGCTTCCCCAAGTCGTCGTCGGCGGCGTCGTCCTCGTCGGTCTCGTCCTCCGTCTGCTCGTCCTGCACGGCATCGTTGCTCCTCGTCGTATCACTCCCCCTCCCCATCTTGGTCCGCCTCCTCCTTCCTCTCCCTCTCTTCATCCTACGCAGCATCGTTGCTCCTGCTCCTTCTCATCCTCCTCCTCCTCCTCCTCATCATCATCATCATCGTCTTCCTCATCTTCCTCATCCTCCTCCTCACCACCATCACCACCACCACCATCAGCATCATCAGAAGCGTCAGCATCATCAGCAGCATCAGCATAAACAGCATAATCATCATCAACAGAGCATAAGCACCTTCAACAGAAGCATCATCAGCAGCAGCATCAGCATCATCAACAGCATCAGCATCATCATCATCATCATCATCATCATCATCATCATCATCATCATCATCATCATCATCAGCCGCATCATCAGCATCAGCATCAGCATCGTTATCAGCCTCATCATCATGTTCAGCATCAGCATCAGCATCAGCATCGTCATCATTATCATCAGCAGCATCCTCATCCTTCCTCAACCCTCCTCAATCCACATCATCCCTCATCATCCCTCCTCTTCCTCCTGGGAAGAAGGAGAAGGGTAAGAAGAGAATTGGGGGAGGAGGAGGAGGAGGAGGAGGAGGAGGAGGAGGAGGAGGAGCGGGAGGAGGAGGAGGTTAGAGGATGAGGGGGAGGAGGACGCGGAGGTAGAGGAGGAGGAGTAGGGGAGGACAATTAATCCGGCATACGGGGCACGGATGAGGTGGAGGCGGAGGCAGGAGGAAGGCGGAGGAGGAGCCGGAGAGGAGACGGAGGTGTCGGAATACGGAGGCGGAGGAGGGCACGGGAGGCAGGACGGAGGAGGCGGCGGCGGCGAAGGAGGCGTGGGAGGGGCGGGGGAGGTGGAGGAGGCGGCGGCGGCGGCGGCGGACGGGGGAGGGGGAGGGGGAGGGGGAGGAGGAAGAGGAGCAGGCGGAGAAGGGGAAGACGGAGGTGGAGGACGGGGTGGCGCACTCATTCGGACGTTTGGAGCATAGCGTGGGCTAAGATCGAGGATTGGGGTGGGTTGGATCCCCAGTCGGTGAGTTTCGTGAAGGTCAAGGCCCACCCCACCCCAGAGCAGCGCAGAGGTGTGTCAGCGCGGGTTCTGGCAGGTAATGTGTATGCCGACCGTTGGGCAAAGCAGATTGCCGAGCAGCGTAGGGTGGCGGTTGCCACTCGTCTGCGATACGCGCGAGCGTCTCGACTGGGGAGGGCGGAGGGAGAGCAGGCGGGGAGAGCGGGGGCCGTAATGGCGGCCATCGACACCGAGCGCCTCGGCCGCCACGAGCTACTGCTTGCTCGGCGTTGGCGTCGGGAGGCGCGCCCCCCGCCGCGTGCAGAGGCGAGCGCAGGGGAAAAGGGTGCTGCGTTGCTGCCGCGGCCCCTGCCTCGCCTCCCCCACCGCCCCCCCCCCCCGCCTCCTCAGCCTGCGCGTGAGAGGGTCCACGTGGTGCATGGACAGCACAGGCTGAGAAGGTGGGTGTGCGTGTGTGGACGGTGCAGTCAGTCAACGGCATCTTCTGCGCCAAGCGTGGAGCGCTGGCCACTGCCCAGATTTGCGAGTGGTCACGTGTGTTCTCCCAGCCCTTTACCTGGTGGAAAAGGGTACTCGCAGGACTGGATCGCGGCAGAGTTCTGTCTCGGGGCAAGTGGGTTCTTACCGAGATTCGGCCTTTTGAATCTCCCGAACTGTCCGAGTTCACAGGCGCGCTGATCGTGAGCGGTCTGTTTCAAGCTTTGTGGAGTAGGACACTGACCCACTTACTGTCATGTGCGTGGCAGGACGGGGTGGCGCAGCTCGAGGCGGAAAAAGAGGCGCTGGCGGAGGCCACGGAGGGAGGGATAGGAGGAGGAGGAGGAGGAGGAGGAGGAGGAGGAAGAGGAGGAGGAGGAGGAGGAAGGAGGAGGAGGAGGAGGGAGAAATGGATAGGAGGAGGAGGAGGAGGAGGAGGAAGAGGAGGCGAAGGAGGAGGAGGAGGAGGAGGAGGAGGAGAGGGGGAGGGAGAGAGGCGGGAGGATCGCAGGTAGGCCCCTTCGGAGACGCGCCTCGAGGGACACAGCGGCTGCGCCAAGCAGCTGCCGCAGCGTCAGCGGCTGCGGCGGCGGCACCATTGGCGGCTGTGGCAGCAGCAGCAGCGGCGACAGCGGTGGTATTGGCATCGGCGGCGGCGGCGGGGGGCGACAGCAACGGTTGCCTCAGGCAGCAGCGACGGGGGCGGAAGCGGCGGCGTCGGGCGCGCTGGCCGCGGCGCTAGTCGAGCTCCGCAGGAGCGCACGCCGGACAATTCCCCGGCGCTCTTCTGCCGACACCTCGATTGGTTGCGGACGCTCGACAAGAAGGCGCCGCCCCGCCCTTCTGCATTGCCGGACGCCCTCGGGGGCCTCTCGCCAGAGCCCAGCCCCCCGTCCTTGCAGTACCGTTGGTGGGGCTTCTCAGACGGGACGGCGGCTGGTAGGCTCGCCTCAAGAACTTGATGACCAGCGCGTGCCAGCAGGCACCACGTCAGGGCTTCCCACGAGAGAGGCTGACCTGGGGCGTATTGCGGGCTCCTTCGGGCGAGATTGGTGGGACCTCTCAGGTAGAACGCCCGCGTGGGGCGGTGGATGGGTCTTCTCGGCAGCTTCGTGACCACCACATTGCAGGAGGCACAGTACTTCGGCCCCCAAGTAGAAGGCGACCACGGGTGTAGCGCGGGTCCGCTCGGGACGCACGTGGCGGGATTTCTCGGGTAGAACGCCCGCTCGGGGTGGCTAGGGGCCTTCCTGGGAGCTTGATGACCGCCAATGCAAGCAGCCACCACGTTGGCGTAGAATGCCCGTTTGGGGCGGCCGATGTGTCTCTTTCAAAAGCCTCATGATCAGCAAGTGGCAACACGGCAGATATATCCGACGAAGGCATCTATACACCACCGTGCCAGGCCATGGCCATCATGGGCCCCAGGATGGTGTATAGACCCTCTTGGCTTCGGCCAGTAGGGCGTATACACCATGCCAGGGCCAGGAGAGCCCTAGCCTGGCACGGTGGTGGTGTATAGATGCCTTCTGCGTAAGATACCATGTTGGTGCCCCTCTACCGAGAGATCGACCAGGAGGGATCCCTGGCCCTCTCGGCCAGCCCAGTCCAGATCAGCCCAATTCAATATCGCCTGGTGCATGCCTAAAGGGTCCAAGGGAAGAGGTGCACAAGCGAAACTGTCTTCACACACAGAGCACCCCATGCTAAAAGATAGCTGCGGCCGCAGTGGCCATCCGCATTGTTCGTTGTGCTGCTGATGCGTACGCGCTGGTCCCTTCAGCGCAGGGTGACGCTCCGTGCCCGCCGAGCGTCTGACTGACCGACCCGACTGGCCTCCTCGGGAAGCCTTCCCAGAGCACACTCTGGAGCCGCCCGCGGCCACGCGACCCGAGGCCGCAACCCTTGGCCTCGCTCGGACGTGTGCGTTTTTTCTCTTCGGCGAGGACCATCGAGGAACATCTTTTATCATTTCGCTATATATATATATAATATATATATATATAATAAAAAAAAAAAAAAAAAAAAAAAAAAAAAAAAAAAAAAAAAAAAAAAAAAAAAAAAAAAAACAGCCCGAGGCGATCCTGGCCAAAAAGGCACGACTCACCCACGAAGGACACTGCACAAGGGCATGACGCCCGAGCGAATGGCAGGCAGCCGCAAAGCCAGGGCCACACACGCTGGGCCCCCCCTGGGCGTTCCGTTCCGGCGGCCGCCGCCCGGGGGGGCCGGCCGGCCCCGGGGCCGCGGGCCCCCGCGGCGGGCGCCTCTGCTGCACGGCCCGCGGGCGCCCCGCGGCTGCAGAGCGCGCGCGCGCGCGAGGGCTCCGCTGCGGAGGCTCTGCGGCCTGATGCGGCCGACCTGTCTGCAGGGGCCCCCAAGTTTTGAATGGGGCCTGTCCCTCTACAGGAGGCAGATTCAGAAACAGTGGAAAAAACAGTCCGGGGACTATTGTTTTTAGCATTTTTTGGCCTTTGGGGGTTATGTTTTGACTACAGCTTTTTTGTTGTTCGCCCAAAGTCCCCCTGTAGGGGGACAGGCCCGACCTAACCCAAGTCGCCCCCAGAAGCCCCAGAGAGGCCCCCCAAAAGCCTCCAAGAGGCAGGGGTCCCGTAACCCGCCCCGCCCATGGCCATGCGGTTTCGCTCTCGGGAGCCTTTCGCCGATCTCTCGGCGACGTATCGCCGATTCCGGCTCGATGATTTCCGTCCGCCCCCGCTGAGCTTGTCCCCCCCTGACGTTGGCCATCATTGAGGCTTCCACGAAGTCTTGAAACATATGGATGTGAGTTGGGTCCCAGGCGGCCTCAAAGAGTGGCCGACCGGGGGCGGGCACCCCTGGTCTCAACATGGGAGCGCTCCCGCGCGAAGGGGGTGACAAAAGTCGCTTGTCATGGTTGCGTGGATGCCCTCTTCGCCCTCCAGGACATCACCGTCACCCTCCCGGTCGTCGTGTTCGTCCTCACCCGTAGTAGTGTTCGTCACGACTTTTATGGCATGTTTTTCCCAACCCTCCTTGGTTGGGTATTCGTTATGAATAGAGCACTGCGGTCTCGAGTTCTCCTCCTCCTCCTCCTCCTTCTCCTCCTCCCGCCTCCTCCTCCCGCCTCCCGTCTCCCACTCCCCTCTTGTTTCCTCTTGCATTGCGCGAACCTGGCCATCCCTGGGGGGGGCTGCGATGTGTGACACTGTCGCCACTTTCGAGGGCTGTTGGTGGGTCCTGCGGAGTGAGGCACCGCGGGGATCTGAGCGGGACCTCGCGGTCCCTGGGGGGCTGCGATCTGCGACATTGTCGCCACTTTCGAGGGCTGTTGGTGGGTCCTGCGGAGTGAGGCACCGCGGGGGTCTGAGCGGGACCTCGCCGTCCCTGGGGGGGTGCGACTTGCGACATTGTCGTCACTTTCGAGGGCTGCTGGTGGGTCCTGCGGAGTGACGCACCGCGGGGATCTGAGCGGGACCTCGCGGTCCCTGGGTGGCTGCGATCTGCGACACTGTCGCCATTTTCGAGGGCTGATGGCGGGTCCTGCGGAGTGAGGCACCGCGGGGATCTGAGCGGGACCTCGCGGTCCCTGGGGGGCTGCGATCTGCGACATTGCCGCCACTTTCGAGAGCTGCTGGCGGGTCCTGCGGAGTGAGGCACCGCGGGGATCTGAGCGAAACCTCGCCGTCCCTGGGGGGGCTGTGGAGAGCTGCTGCGGGATACGTTAGGCGCAACGGGCGCATGGCACAGCCAACGGGGGTGATTTTGTGAAACAGACCATTTTTGAAAGCTGCTGGTGGGTCCTGCGGAGTGAGGCACCGCGGGGGTCTGAGCGGGACCTCGCGGTCCCTGGGGGGCTGCGATTTGCGACATCGTCGCCACTTTCGAGGGCTGCTGGTGGGTCCTGCGGAGTGAGGCACCGCGGGGATCTGAGCGGGACCTCGCCGTCCCTGGGGGGCTGCGATCTGCAACATTGTCGCCACTTTCGAGGGCTGCTGGTGGGTCCTGCGGAGTGAGGCACCGCGGGAATCTGAGCGAGACCTCGCCGTCCTTGTGGGGCTGCGATCTGCGGCACTGTCGCCACTTTCGAGGGCTGCTGGTGGGTCCTGCGGAGTGAGGCACCGCGGGGATCTGAGCGGGACCTCGCTGTCCTTGGGGGGCTGCGATCTGCGACATTGTCGCCACTTTCGAGGGCTGCTGGTGGGTCCTGCGGAGTGAGGCACCGCGGGGATCGGAGCGAGACCTCGCCATCCCTGGGGGGCTGCGATCTGCGACATTGTCGCCACTTTCGAGGGCTGCTGGTGGGTCCTGCGGAATGAGGCACCGCGGGGATCTGAGCGACCTCGCGTCCCTGGGGGGCTGCGATCTGCGACACTGTCGCCACTTTCGAGGGCTGTTGGTGGGTCCTGCGGAGTGAGGCACCGCGGGGATCTGAGCGGGACCTCGCGGTCCCTGGGGGGCTGCGACTTGCGACACTGTCGCAACGTTCGAGGGTTGCTGGCGGGTCCTGCGGAGTGTGGCACCGCGGGGATCTGAGCGGGACCTCGCGGTCCCTGGGGGGCTGCGATCTTCGACATTGTCGCCACTTTCGAGGGCTGCCAGTGGGTCCTGCGGAGTGAGGCACCGCGGGGATCTGAGCGAGATTTCGCCGTCTCTGGGGGCCTGCGATCTGCGACACTGTCGCCACTTTCGAGGGCTGCTGGTGGGGTCTTGCGGAGTGAGGCACCGCGGGGATCTGAGCGGGACCTCGCTGTCATTGGGGGCTGCGATCTGCGACATTCTCGCCCATATTATCGAGTTAATCACTCTCCTGATCCCTGTGAAGGCACGCGGAATCGCAGTAGCGGGACCTCGCTGCTTCCGAGATGGCTGCGAACTGTCTACTTGTCGCCACTTTCGAGGGCTCTGGTGGAGTCCTTGCCGGAGTGAGGCACCTTGCAGGGATCTGAGCGAGACCTCGCCGTCCTTAGGGGGCTGCGACCTGCGACACTGTCGCCACTTTCGAGGGCTGCTGGTGGGTCCTGCGGAGTGAGGCACCGCGGGGATCTGAGCGAGACATCGCCGTCCCTGGGGGGCTGCGATCTGCGACATTGTCGCCATTTTTGAGGGCTGATGGTGGGTCCTGCGGAGTGAGGCACCGCGGGGATCTGAGCGGGACCTCGTCCCTGGGGGGCTGCGATCTGCAACACTGTCGCAACGTTCGAGGGCTGCTGGCGTGTCCTGCGGAGTGAGGCACCGCGGGGATCTGAGCGAAACCTCGCCGTCCCTGGGGGGGCTGTGGAGAGCTGCTGCGGGATACGTTAGGCGCAACGGGCGCATGGCACAGCCAACGGGGGTGATTTTGTGAAACAGACCATCTGCCGGGCGATGGCCATAACGTTGCGCCTACACGCATCCCGCGGGGGCTCTCAAGAGTTGCTGCGGGATACGTTGGGTGCAACGGGCGCATGGCACAGCCAACGGTGGTGATTTGTTATTACGTAGCCCTTAGATCTTGATCGGGGGCTTGCGAGCCTTCTGATTGCTGCTCACAAAATCACATGCGTCCATTTTACGTCATCGCCCCCGTTGTAGCAATCCTGACGTACTTATGCCCCGCATTGCGCAAGGGTTGGGTACGTTGCCAGGGTAAGTTTCTTCGGTGTCATCGCCCTTTTCTCCTTCCCCCCTCCACCTCATTTCCTTTGGCAGTGCCTCATGCGGCCTCCTGGTGAAATTACGCTGCGGCTTCCTGCACAGCTTTCACAGGCATCCGCTCTCAAAGTGTCATGCGTTTCGTGATGGGCCCGTTGATGTTGCCTGTTGTTTCAGATGGGTTTGGCATGTCCCTGGGTAATTGTTTTCGGTATCCTCGGGCCTCGCCTGGAGGCCCCTTTGGGCGTCTCTCGCGGCATCTTGGGACCTTGTGTTTCCTCCCTGCCGCTTGCTTGCCTCTCGTTACTGCTGCTATCAACGCGATGCGTTGAGGTTCTAACAGAAAAAAATGCTTGTAAAATGTTGGCTCCATGGTGTGAAGGTGCGGATTTGGCCGGTCGGGTCGTCCAATCTACACGACGATTGGAGCATGAAGTTCCTTGCGGCACCATGGAAAAAAACACCTTGGGACCATGTGTGTCATCGTGGGGGCATCTTGGAGCCTCTGGGGGGTCGTTGGGCCGTCGCGGGCGGGCCTTCAGTCTTGGGTCGTCTTGGAGCCACCTGTAGGCCGAACGGGGCGCCGGGAAGCAGATGCAGGGCACGGTGTTCGAGGGAGCCCCGCCCCAGAGAACTGCAGCAAGGCGGGGGTGATCCCCTCCACCTCTCCCGAGCATCGCCCTGGGGGGCCGCCCTGGGGGGAGGTCTTGCCGCCCCGTCGATCGCCCTGGGGGGCTCGCCGGCCGCTCCTGCGCGCAGTGCCTCAAGGCCCCCCCCCCGAGAGGGGGGGCCTATAGGCGGGCGCTGTGCTGACGGGAGCCCCCGAGGGGGGGGGGGGGGGCCCGGCTCGCCCAGGCTGGGGGCCTGGACAGAAGCCGACTGGGCCCTGGGGGCCCTGCAGACAGCTCACAGCTTTCCAGGGCCTCCCACATGTGGCGGCACGTCGCTGGCTGACCATGGCGTGTGCGACACGCCAGGAGGCGCGGCCAAGTGGATCACATGCATTGGCAACACGCTGCACCGTAAGCCTTTGGCCGCGCAGCACCCGAGCAACCGCACGCGTCGTGCTCGAAGCCCTCCAATTCAGTGCCCCATTTCGAGGAGCAGCGGCATTAGCACAAGGAAAGGATGAGAAGCAGCAGGAGGAGGAGGAGCAGCAGGAAAGAGGAAACAGGCAGAGGATGGGAAAGCGGGGCGGGAAGCAACACGAGGAGCAGGAGCAGCAGGAGCACGAACAGTACAGGGAGGACGAGGAGCAGGACGAGATGGCCATTCTGACCCCGTCGGCCCCGATGAGGACCAGGCGAACGTTCTGACCTTTGAGGCCGCCACGCTCGGGACATACCTGACATTCTTCAACATGGCGGGGGACAACATCAAGACAAAGATGCAGGCGCTCTCGTGCCACCACGCTCTTGAATGCGCTCGGAGACAGGAAGAGGCGTCGAGGGGGTGGGAGTGAGAGGGATGGAAGAGGATCGCCATCGAGAATGTGCGGAGAGGGAGGAGAGAGAGAGCGAGAGAGAGAGCGAGAGAGAGAGAGAGAATGAGAAAAAAAAACGGGATGAGCCAGACCCTCGCCGTGCCGCGCGCAGTCAAGCCAGACAGCGACGGGGTGCCTTTGCTAAGTCTAGAATGTGCCTGGGGTTGGACGGTCGTGGTTCCCTCTCACTCGGTCCTTCTTCTCCGCCAGAGCTGCTCGATCGCCCGCACAATCCCGACTTTAGTAGGATGCTCTGCCACCGTGTGGCTCCAGCGTCGGCGCGTACTTTATTGTTGTGGTGGGTCGACAAGCCTCGCGATCTAAATCTTATTGCCGCAATGCTTTCCATCTTCAAGTGTCCAGACCCCCTCTTCCTCTTCCTCCTTCTCCTCCTCCCCCTTCTCCTCATCCTCCTCCTCCTCTTCCTCCTCTCCTCCTCCTCCTCCTATCCTCCTCCTATCCTCCTCCTCCTCCCCCTCCTCCTCCTCCTC